AATATTTTTCACCTTAGGCCATGCTCTCCTGTGGTTATGCAATGTATTTTACTTAGACACATAGGAACATTTAATATGGAGGCAAGTGTGTGGAGACATACTCCATCCTGTAATAGGCTGCCTCTGTGCGCAGTAATCATAGAGGGCTAAAAAGGGAAAGTCAACATCTGGCCTGAGAGCAGTAATCACAGGTTGGCTGTTATTAAGCTGCCAGACACAACCTTTGAACTGAGAGGATTTAAGCGGCACTCATTACCAGCTCTCTGTGTCTGTCAGGTAGGGCAGCCAAGGTCAAGGCCAACGGACATCCATTTATTATTACTGTGAGAGGGGGAAGCCGTGATGAAGAGTAACGTTGGTTTTCAGAATATTACCAGCAGAAATACACGGCACGGTAATCTGGTTTAAAAATTGATTTCTGTGGAGTTTAGAGTCCGGATTCACCTGCTTGAGATGTACAGGAGCATTATAAATATGAAATCTTAAAGAGACATGAGAAAGAAATTTAAAACACAGACAGTGGCCACACACTTCATATGACAGCTAAATCATTCAGACATCTTCGAGATAACACAGTATGTTCTGAAAAGTAGTATTTCAATACAAAAATAAACATTCTGAGAAATGCGCTTTTTTGCTTTCTTGCCGAAAGATAAATGAAAATAGAGACAAGTCTTTGTATGCACTGTATGCTACATTTGAGGCTATGAGTCAGAATTCTAATAAGAGGTTGAACAAGAACAAAATGTTTTATTTAGTGCGCTTTGAAGCTGTTTGTAGCTGATGTGTATGGACAAAGCCATGCTAGCTGTCTTTTTTAAGTCTTTGTCTTAGGATAAGCTACACATTTAGACATGGGAGTAGTATGGAACTACTCATTTTATTCTCAGAAAAGAAGACCAATATATATATATATATATAGCACTGTCCTTGAAGAAATTGGCCACTCATACTATTAAATGTCCCTGCTGTTCTGATACTGAACCGGCCAAATAAGGCAAACCATGAGCTGCTTTTAGTCCAGGGTGACCTTACTGCTTGTACAAAACATGCCTCATTTTTATTTTACATTTACAGATAAAGCAGACAATGGTTGATGATGTTCTCTTTCATCATAGCCTTGTTGCAATGACAAAAGATGTGTGATTTTCCAAAGTGTCCCAAGGTGATTAATATTTCAGAGAATGACACATCCAGGACAGCCCTCACACCCAGGACAGCCCTCACACCCAGGACAGCCCACACACACACACACACACACACACACACACACACACACACACACACACACACACACACACACACACACACACACACACACACACACACACACACACACACACACAGGGAGGGAGGATGGGAAGGAAGGATGGGTGTTGCGGAGTAGATTGATCGTTAAGTATGTTTTATGAGCTGAATCTTGTTAACATAATGTTGACTTTTTCTGTTGAACACCTTGAGAGACTGGAGGAGAGGAACTAATGAGGTATGCCAACCAGGATCAGGCTGGATGTCAGTGAAGGACAGCTATTAAAGGAAGAGGAATTAAAGGAAGAGGAATTAAAGGAATCGTTTTTGTCGTTTTCAGAAACCCATTATTTGTGAACAAAGTGTGGAGAGATGAAGATGTTCTTTTCCTCTTATCAACACAAATACATTGGTGGCTTTGTCTGAAAAGCTTGGTGATGTAGCATGTTTAAGCTAAAATCAACAGCATGGTGTCAGCGGGAGGTTATCACAGCACTGAGCTCCCCATAGACCGGGGTCAGGTTACTGATAGAGACACAAGAAATGCAAACACAAGCAAAGGAGGTGAAAAGGCTTGAATCAGACTTTTAGCAAACATTTGACTCACATTTTGGATTTTAAGCGGTGGTTCCCCAACCTTAACTGCCTTATAACACCAAGCATCTATGTCATTATCAGCAAGGATTATCTATGTAATTTGGTGTGTGGTGAAACAATGCCTGTTGGTAATTAGCCGCAGCGCTCTTGTGACAGATTAAACCACCTCCAGACTGTACCAAAGCTGCAGGAGTTCTGCTGACGCACACATAAACCACTGCCTTAATAATACCTCCCTCTGTTCTCAAACAGCCACCGCTGCTAATTCACCACAACTTCAACCCTGTCTACAGCATTGTTTCAAAGTCCCCTCATTTCATTAGTTTAATTATAGGTTAAGAGAGGGAACAGTTTAAGGAATGCAGGATCATTAGGCATTTCTGAGCTTTGCATTCCTTCCATCCTTCCTTAACCTAACTTCCTGACTTCCTCCCTTACTCCATCAGCTGGACGTTAAGAGCGATGGTTCTCATCTCTCTAAAGTGGCAGCTGGAGGAAGTGACAACTGGGCAGAAAAGACCCTGGGTAGAGAAATAGTCCCCCCTTCCGAAAGCCGGCGGCCTTTCTCACGTTACCCATTTGAACACAGAATGCTTACCGAGCACGCCGACCCACGGCTCCGGCTTCAAAGCAGCAGACATAAACAGCATAGGGCTGCGACGGATGTTTCAGGATGGGGAGAATGTGTTTGTGTTTGTGTGTGTGTGTGTGTGTGTGTGTGTGTGTGTGTGTGTGTGTGTGTGTGTGTGTGTGTGTTGGGCGGTGGTGTGAAACCTAAAGCCTTGTCACTACACCTCTACAATGCATGGATGACAGGCTGCCCATGACAGGGAATGTCAGGGGTCAAGGCTGAGAATCTGGGATTCCCTGTGTCAGAGTATCTTTAAGAGAAGGAATTCAGTGTGTTATGTAGAGAAGGAGTTACCGGGCGTTGAGAGGTCCTCATGTGGCTTTACAGTGTGGGGCAGCTGCTGCTATAAAGAAACTGATTACCAATTTAGAAAGGCACATAACTTCCTCAACAGGATGCTCCAGAAAGACATAACATATTGGGGTTCTATGTTTAAACACACATACACAAAGCCACAGGTGTGGGAATATAAAGGGATGCCCTGACGTTTAAACAAAGAAATCCACGATGACCAAGCCCAGCCTCCTGGCAGAAGTCAGAGGGCACGAAAAAGAGACTCCAGGTATTATGTGTGTTTAGTTGGCCATGTCTATGAAGAGGACGGGTTGGGCGTTGAGGGGAGGCTTCGCTGAGAGATTTATGGTGTTGGGTCAACTCCTGAGAGGAAAAGGCCGTGCTGGTGGGACAGGATGAGCTTTTACGATGATCCTGTGCCACTCCTTACTTTCTAACCCCGCCGTCATCTTGTGCAGGGAATTGACTCTAGACACTAGATTACATCAGAACAACACAAACTGATACACTGGTTCATTTGAATTAATCTACAAATGAACTCCGTTTCTTCTCAGATCAAATGGCAGAGTATATGCAAAGGTCGAAAAAGGATATCTGTATGTGTTGACATCCTGTAATCTCTCCAACTGATTGATTCATTGGATGCACAGAAACAAATTGTGTCTAAGATTTATCCTGAGTCGAGTTTAATCCTCGTCTTACTTCACTTCCCAAAATCCTGCTTAATTAAATCCACACTGGTCTCCCTGATAAATTCAGGAATCTGGTTCCTTAACCCTAAAGTCCTTTAGAAAACCAGAACAGTTCATTTACTTTAATGCAGTTTTTCATTCAAATGAGAAACAAACACCCCAGATACTCCTATTCCACTGCTGACAAAAGTCAAACTGTCATTTTTAGTAAATACATTGAATGACACCTGGATTACCCCAAAACATTACAGGAATTTCTCCATCCATTTTTTAAGGATGAGTTATTCTCTGGGACTAATCCCTTCCTCTTTAAATAGTACCAGATTGGTAATATGGATGCTTCACTTAAAATTGTGTAATTATTCAAGTTTTAATGTAGATTTGGTCAAACAGATATCACTGTTGTGTCCAAGGACGAATGACATCCTCCAGCAGTCTGATATTATCTGCTTGAAACAGCATAATCCAGGAGTCACCTCTGAGACACACTGCACCTTCACTGAGTCACAGATCATCTCACCATCTGAGGCGGAGTATTGCTGTTGTAGAGATACAGGAGGTGAGTGGAGGGATCCACCACCAACACACACTGTCTCTTTTTCTGTGAGTGTGTGTGCCCTCCTCTTAGTCAGAGGAGGATGACAAAGCAGACCTATAGCCAGTCTCTGCACAGCCTCTATGTGTGTGTGTGTGTGTGTGTGTGTGTGTGTGTGTGTGTTATGTCATTTGTTAGATGTTTTTATCCAAAGCGACTTACGTACATTCAGTACTGTGGACAATCCCCACAGGAGCAATTTGGGGTGAAGTGTCTTGCCCAGGGACACAACGACATGCTGACTGCAGTAGGGCTCGAACTTGCTATCCCCTGATTTGAAGTCCAGCACACTATCCACTGAGCCACAGCCACCCTGTGTGTGTGTGTGTGTGTGTGTGTGTGTGTGTGTGTGTGTGTGTGTGTGTGTGTGTGTGTGTGTGTGTGCGTGCGTGCGGGCTGAATTGCAGATGACACATCCACAGGGCACACACTCTTCTTCTTCTTCTTTTTTTTTTACAGGCACTGGATTGTCTATTATGAACTAAAGCTACAAAGGAGGGAAAAGATAATGACAAGGAGGCTGTCACATGAGTCATGTTTGTCTTTGTATTTCAGTAATTAGATTATCTGAGTTTAATTAAAGAAGAGATTACAAAGTCATGCACAGAAATACTGTAACAGAGGCTTGTTAGGGAGTTACAGTTCCCATTACAGCTGCATCCTGTACACCAGCCCAGTGCTATAGTCTAGTATTTCAATGTAGGGGAAAGCATTAAAAAGACCACAAACACAGCAGAATAAATGTTCTTAATGGAGATTAATTAACCAACACTTTACAGACGCGTAAACTCAAACTAATCTCAAAGCAGCCATGGACAGGCACGCACACAGCACAATAACAAAACAAAGACCGTCGAGTGCTCAAAATAATGACAAAACTCAGGTTAAAAGTAGAGAGCAAAGACAAAAACAATATTTAAGTAAGGGCAAAGCGGTTTCTTACCTCTATAAAGAATGTATCCATTATTACTGAGTGCCCAAAACTCACGTCCCTTTGTAGTCTGAGTTCAGGGTACCACGGTAGAGGAGGAGAGGAAGCTGTAATCCCAAATGATTTCCATCCGCGTCGCTAGCATAAAGAAAAGTTCTTCCCTCCGTCCCCTCGCTCAAAACTCTCGAGTCATCTTTCAGTCCTGTGTTGCTACACTTCGGAGTTTTTCTTCGCCGTTTGTTGGGTGTCCCGTGAAGCCTGAGCGGTGCTGTGTTTCTGCTGTCTGCTCGTTTCAATGAACCCGGCACATTATGTACAGAGGCGGGGCCTATAGGGTCACAGCCCCCCCCCCTCAGCATACGCCCTCTTTGTGTACATCCCTACAAAGGGCCTGATGGTTTTAAAGGATGTGCACATTTCCCCTGTTCAACACACACACGGTTACTCCTTTAGCAATACAGGATGATGTAAACAAATGCAGGAATTGTTGGGAAATGAAAAGCAAGTAATGTTTTGCAGCATAGTGAATTTAATCGCAGTTAACCATCAATGTTATGTATGTGATGGATTGAGCATAAGAACCATTATTTAGACTTCCTCCTTTGGGAAAAATAAAATGAGGAGGAAGAGGAAGAGGCAGACCAGAGGGAGCAAGTCTGCTTTGTTTAAGTCAATGATTGTTTACCAAGTGGGGTGGTATTCAGAACATGTGCAGTTTTTTTTAGTGTAGGCCATTAGTCAATGCTGCACAATTCAGGCATGTCCAGAAACTGACTGGGCTATTGTGGTCTAGGCGACTTAAATGCAGTTTATAATAGTAGTTTATTTCAAAGTGTCAAGTACTGAAAAGTTTTAAATGTTTGAAACAAATGTGTACTTTTTCAAATTTGATATTTGTACTATTTGTGCAAATCAAACTGCTGGTCTGGTTGTGCAGTTAGCATTTATTTGTTCGAAATAGCCAATGTAGACCTGTACATATGTTAGCTGTAGCTAGCTCAGGGTGCTCAGCTATGTGGTGGATTGTGGTGGTTATGTAACTGTAATAGGAAACGTTTCCAGATTAGTCTGATTTTCTTTGGAGGGGGCTACTTCTGTTCCCTCACTTCTGCTATAATAATTACCTTGTGAGAGTAAACAATCACCTTCATGGCATGATTCTGTTCAAGCTGGTACATTTAACAGAAATGTTGTATTATCCAAATGTTTCTCCCCAGTCAACAGATGGAATCGTACTGGTCGTCAATTACTTCAGAAGGGAAACGCACAAGCTCTTTAATCTGTGACCTTATGCCAGTAAGATCAGCCATCCTCTCATGACCTGCAGATAGTCAATCTAATCTATAGTCATGCAAGAGATCCAGGCTGGCAATGTGGAGCGATTGTTATGTAACAGTGTAGACTGTGTGGCACGAGATGGCAGAACTCATTCTCTGACATGTATTTAATAATGTTTATTGCTAAAAAACTGGCTCCTGTTGGATTTACTTTACTTTGTAAACTCTGTTGTTATTCTCATATTCTAATTTTGGTGTCAAGGTAAATGTGTAGTATTTAGTTTAACCCTACAGCACAGTGTACATATATATGTAATAAATAGCATACAGCTAATGCTCTTTGATTTATCAAATTAATAATGTTAGGGTGATCTCTTTTTGAATTTCTGAATGTAATGATTTTAGGACCTTTGAAGTTTTCTTAGTTTGCTTTAATTTATTGAATTACTATTTCCAGCTTATGAGTTTGTAGTCTATTTGATAACGTTTATAAATGTTCTTAAAAGTAAATATGTTGCTTATGTTGGTTGAATTCAGTTGTATGACTATCTTCAAAAGTCATATAGTCGCACAGTCATGTATTGTTCTCATCATGTTTAGTACTAACAGTTTAGTACTAACAGTGTGCTTGCTGGAGGTTTGGGGATTTGTGATTGTTAAACCTCAATGGGCAGCAGCATTAGGGAGAGTATTTTACCCTCAAATCAGGAATGAATGTCAGCTCTGTGAGTAGCCAAGGTGGCATTCTGTTGATATTCAGCATTGCACTGACTAAGCATTGCCCATAACACATTTGCCAAAACCAAACAATGGTGAAAGAACTGCACTTTGTTTCAGTCACTAATTTGACCCCTCAATGAAAACAGTGGCAAGTTGTCAGGCAGAGCGGTGATTTAAAAGTAATGCTGTCTTTCACCCTACCTGAGAGGACAAAGAGAACAAGAACAAAACATCCATTTGGTCATCGAGGGACCGGGGGAAGGGACGGGGATCATAGGCCCTGCTGTTGACTCCTGCTATGGTCTCAATTGCCTACATATGCTGGTTTGATCCTTAATAGGGGGACAAACTGTGCAGGTGAAGTGTGACCGTTGCTTTTAAGGTTGTGTAGGGAACTCGACATTCAAAACAAGTGGTGGACCATCACAACTGGACAATGGCTCCCCATTGAAAAGAGGACAACAACCTCTTTTTGATCCAAAAGACCAAGCAACATTTTTTTTATCATGCAAATAATACAGTCAGTGTCAGGGAAGTATTTAAAAAAGTGCAGTTTCTTTCAAGGTTTTTTTATTAAAGTTTAAATGATGGTTGAAATATCATCTGTGACCCTACATTCCTGAGGAACATACTGAAGCAGATACCAGGCATACCACAGACTGACGATCAGCTGAGAGTCAGGTATGCAGGGCTTATAATGAAAATTATAACCATGAAGAGATGTGTTTCCATAATGTTGTTTACTTATCAGTCCTAGAGAGACAAATGCAACTAGGAGCTCAGTGTATCATCACTGAAAACAAGAGAAGATAGAATTGTAGGGATATGTAATGTAAACAAAAAACATTTAAAAATGCTTGCCAGTTAATTAATGAATAGGCTGTAAAATAAAGAGCCCTAAGGCAGCACTAACACAGACCTACTGCACAACCATTCCCACTTCCTGCTATTACAGCATGCAGTACATTTGAGATCTGATATCTGTGACAGCAGAAATGGTCTCTATGGCCAAATGAAGTTGCACAAACAAACAGAGCCAGAGTTTTTTTGTCACATTAAAAATGTACTTCTCCAACTGAGGTACCAAGCAAGGGCAATGTGACCAATTCAGATCAATGACTCCATTATTTAAACGTCTGATTAAGCGTGAAAGAGGAGCATGACATGTGAGGAGTTGTGTATTTGGAGGACTAATGGAGACAGAGAGTCTGTGATGACCCTTCTATTAGCAGACAAGACCTCAGGCAAAGTCATTCAGGTCGGTTGAAGGACCCTTTTGCAGCTTCGAATAACGAATAATAGGGAAATCTGGCTTGAGCACATGTGATGGTGGTCCTGCTGACTGAGAGTGACTGTTTGATAAGTCTCTACCCAGCCATGTACTGTTAGTCACAACCAGACCATGATAATCACTTAACTGTAGGTTTGATGACGTAAAATAGCACTCACCCATGAATGTTTGCCTGAATCCAGAGTGCCAACAGAACAAGCATTGATCATTTATATCATTATGGAACCATCTGCTTTTTATAGTTTATGCATAAAGTCAGTGGCAGCAATGTCAGATTCAATAAAGTCCAAGTACTCAAATATCCAGACACAGTTTTTTTTTTTTATTTAGCCGGAAATATTACAAAATTCTAGTTGGTGTCAGACCTGCAAATAGTGACGTGGTGCTCAGATGTGTCACATTGAAACAGTTCATCTAAAAAACAAACAGAGATGTTATGTAATATTGGGACTGTCAAATCAAAACTTTTACTATTAATGTAATATAAATAATAAAATACCCGGCATTATAGTCAAGTTTCGAAAAATTGTGTTTATACTGTAAAGCCCCGAATAACAGATTTGACACATGGATTTACTAACCGTGCATCCCATACAATTCTCTACCCTTCCTTTTAGTCAAATAAGAAAACCTTCTCCGAAAAAAAAGTAAGAAACAGCAAGAGAAAGATGACTTCTTCAATGTTGTATAAATCAAGAAAGGTCTAAAATATGAAATGAATATTAGGTTTAACAAGTTGAAGAGCTTCATTGTGTCAATGGATATCATGTCAAGTTGAAGCTACACATTAGAAGATTAGTCAAGCCACGCATGAGACTAATGATGTAATGATTCTTGTTGTTGAATTTCACTAATGAAATTGATGTGGTCATTGCTTATTCGTCTTTCAGGACGGGGGCCGCTGTGTCAGAGGAGCAGTGGATTATTGGACACACTCAGGGAACAAAGCAAACAAAGAGGGAGGGAGGGAGAGGATATAATTGATTGAAACAAATGTAGTTTAGGTAAGATGGATGGAAAGAGGTGAGAGGAGAACATGGACTTTGAGATAAAAAATAGAACATCTGACAATATCATAAACAAAGGCAATTCAATCTTTATCGGATCACTCTCGCTGGCAGCATTACATTAATGTGTAAATCTGGTCGATGACAAACACTCGTGCCACACTTATTAAATTATGCGGCAGATCCTGTGACACCACAGAGCCAACAGGTTTCCAATTGAAAGCATTACTCACACCTACGTCTACAATGTCTCTGTTTATATGATAGAGGGCACAAGGTGATGGGACAAAAATATAAGTAATGCAGTATGGATTTGTGGATTCAATTACCACACATATTTTCAGTAAAATATGTATTGTTTTGTGTTGGATGAATATAAAGGAAATGTGTAAAGGACTTAAAGGTAAAAGACAACACAACAGAATAATAAAAACACTGAGGGTCCTTTATGGTACAGCAATGTGTAAGTTGTAACCAAAGTAGCTGCTGCGACTACGGCTTGAAATAAAGCTATAAAAGGATGAGAGTGAAAGTTTATGGATTGACAGTCAACATATAACTAGAAAAGTAGGTGGTAGAGCGGAAGAAAGATTCTCATCACTGTGATTAATTTGGCTTAATGAGGCTCTCCATCAGCTAAAATGGTCATCCGGGTTCAAGCAGCAGGATTCAACATTTCTGACCACAAAAATTCCTCCTTAGAGATGCCTGCACCCCAAACACATACCATAGGCTGAGGAATGAGGCCCAGCTCACACACTTCCCATGCTCCCCCGCACTTTCAACTTCCTGTTTGTTTATAAAGCTTCATATTACAATGCTCCCACAATAAGATTATACTTTATTTCCTATATCTGTACCTATCTATGGATTTTTGCTTTAAGAGAACTGGAAAAATATGCCAAGGATGCACACCACTGCTGAGGGAACTCAGTTATAACATGCCACTGAACCTTTGTCAT